CCTGAGGAGGAGGCGGCGGCGCGCGGGTCCCTGGAAGCCCAGGGGAGGTCCGGGCGGAGGAGCGCCGCACGTGCAGAGACCCGCCCTGTGCGCCATGGCGCGCCGGTTCCCCGGCCGCCGGGCGTCCCCTTAGCCGCGGCGGCGCGACCCGGGGCGGCGGCATGGAGCCGCACGTGCTGGGCGCCGGGCTCTACTGGCTGCTGCTGCCCTGCACGCTCCTGGCGGGTGAGTGGAGGGCACGGGGGGAAGGCTGCGTCCGAGACCCCCGGGCTGCCCGCACCCCCCGAGGGTGCGCGTGGGGGCGGCCAGGCGCGGAGGTTCCCCGGGACGCGCAGACGCGGGCGCCCGCATTCCTGAGGCATGAGCGCGCTGGCGGCCTCCGCGGGCTCGGGCTGGGCACCCAGTGGAAGCGCCGCGGGTCCAGGAGCGCCCGGGACAGCGCGCCGCCGTCTGGGCGAGGACTGGGAGGAGGGGCCCCGCGAGGGGCTGTTGGCGCCCGAGCAGCGAGGAGAGCGCGAATCTCTTTTCTCGTTAGTGTTAAAAAAAAAAAAAAAAAAAAGTAAAACTTGGATCAGGACTTCCTGACCAATCTGGGAGAAGGCGGCTTCCTGCCTGCAGCTTTTCAAGTTGGAGTTTTCCTACCAGAACTAACGTCCCAGCCCTGGGCGCAGCCCGTGGCCAGCCCCTGGCGCTCTTCGTCCCCGCGGCCAGGCAATCTGCCCCTTGCTTTGGAAAAGGCTGTTCTCTTCCTCAAGCCCTACTAGGCCCTGTTCCAGAGGGGCTGGGGCAGAGGGCGTCCCTGGAGGCGCTGGCCTGGTGTCAGAGCTGGAGCTCCCCAACCCTGGCATCAGTGTCCCCCGCTTACCGAAAGCACCCTCCCCTTCGGTTTTCTCCAGGTACCCCACTGCTGGGCTTCTCAGCACCCCTCTAGCCTCTGCCTCGCCTAGGGTATCGTACCCAGCAGCTCATCCGCCTTACTCCCCCTGGACCTCTTCCTCCGCATGTAACTTTCTCCATGTCCTGATTAAGTTAGCCCACAGAGAGATCGAGCGGTTTTCGTTGTGAAAGTCTGTCTGCGGCGTGGAAACCCACCAATCGGAGGTGGGGGTTCTGTTTGATCCCCGGCGCTTTGCAGCCCCTTCAGAGAGCCTGCTTACTCACCACCGTCCTAGGTAGACTTCCTAGGAACAGACGCCTGGGGTGTCAGGGATTCGGGGCAGCTCCACTGTGGCAGCACCGAAATGTGAGACTGGGGGAAAAATTTCAAGGCAGGAATCAATGAAAACCATTGAGCTTGGAAAGGAGGGACCTGGGGACACTGTCCTTAGCTCAGCCTGGACTCCGGAGAGCCAGGGGCCAGGACACCCACATTGCTTGTTTTCCTAACTGGCCTGTAAACAGGCAGACAGTTAAAAAAAAAAAAAAAAGGCTGAATGGGTGGATGGTGTTGGTGAGGAAGACAGGTAAGCTTCTTAAAGGGGCAGCCTGACCTGTGTCTGTCCCGAGGCTCCTTAACCTCCAGGGCTTGGAGACAAGGACAGGGCTGGGGGTAGGTGGTTGTCTTGTGTGGGAAGGAAGGTTTCTTCCTGAAGGGCTTCTCTGCCACAGACAGAGACCACTCTTGGACAAAACTGGCAGTTTTCTCTGACCAACCAGATGGTAAATGTTTTCACATTATGTAATATTCTGATATTTTTTCCGGCCGTTAAAAAATGTAAAAACCATTCTCAGCTCGTGTGCAGTACCGAAGCTGGCCATGAGGCCAGGTCTGACTGACTGCCAGCTGGAGCTTGTGATCCCTTAGGATCAGTCCAGGCTCTGAGGCCCCCTGGCTTCTTGGCTTTAGTGTGTGGGTGGTGGAAGCTTCCAGTTTGAGTTGGGTTAGGATGTGGAGGAGGCTTTGCCAGCTCAGGGGGTTCCCACCCAGGCTGTGTTAGTCACCTGGGGAGTTTTCAAAAGAGTATTGATGACTAATGCTCTGGTCTTTCCTAAGGCCCTACTGCCCCCCAATAAAGTCCTGTCTAGAGAACATACCTATGCACAGGCCACACCCACCCAAACTCTGAGCCTTAGTGTGGGCTTGGCCATCACCTGTGGGAGGTGGAGAGGTGGATATGGAGCCAGCCCAAAGCCCTGCCTGATGACACCTGAGACACTGGCATCCTGCTTGTTGCCATGATGTGTGGACGTCTCCTGAGGGACCGCTTGCTGTTTTGCTGGCGGTGGAATGTTCGCTCCATTCTCTTGTGAGGGCCCCCTCACCCTCCATCCTTCCAGCAGTTTGGGACCTGTGTTTTGGCTGTTTGTTGGTTTGGTTTGATTTTTGTTTTTCTTTTGTTTTGAGACAGGGTCTCACTATATGTAGCTGTGGTTGGCTTGGAACTCATTATATAGACCAGGCTGGCCTCAAACTCAAAAAGATTCGCCTGCCTCTGCCTCCTGAGTGCTGGGATTAAAGACCTGTGCCACCTTGGAAACAAAACATGGCCTTCCCACGGTTAGTCACCATGTTGGCTGGCTCAGGCCTTGGTGAAGGTTTGAATCATCCTGGGGTGTCCAGCCCCCTCATCCCCACACAGGATCACTACCTGAAAAGCCAGGCGGGGTGATGCCCCAGCCCCCAGGGGGTAGTGACCAGCTCAGGCAGACTCACTTGCTGACCTGGGGGTCCTAGGTGATCAGGACCCAGGGATGGAAGCTTCCAGAGATGTCTGGGTAGGGTATGTTGTGCTTGGGATAGAAATGACCAGTTCTCTTGACTCAGCCTCACAGGGACAACCAGGACCTTAAACACTGAGCAGGAGCCAGCTAGGGAGAAACTGCAACTTGTTCATTTGCTGAGAGTAAGGATGCAAAATGCCTACGGTTGGGCACCGTGGGCTCTGCTCTCGGGGTGTTCAAAACATGATATTCACAGCAGCCTAGGGGGCATACCCATGACAGGACAGCACCTGGACTGGGCTCATTGTCCCTGAGAAGTTTCACTGTCACCATTTATTACCCCCCTCTCAGGCTGGCAGGCGGGAAGGGTCTCTGGCTTGGCCTCTTGGGCAAGGACTGGTCAACCCTCATTCAGTGGTCAAATCTGCTGCTGAAGCCCAGGGCCAAAGAGCAGTAAGGATGGCAGGGCCATTAGTTGCCACTGGTGCTGTTGTCTCAGCAGCCACAGAATGGGTGAGGTCTTACTTCCTCCACATCTCTGGGGTGGGGGGGGACTCCCTGCTGAGCCTCAGCATCCTGGCCTGGTAGAGGGGCGGGCACTGCGTTCATGCTGGGCTGGGGAGGGAATGAGTAAGCAGGATGGGGAACCCAGTAGGTCCCAGTGTGTTTAAGGGAGGAGCTGGGGACCTTCTGAGAACTGAGAATAGATCACATGGCCTACCAAAATCTTCTCGAAGGGTTCACTGGCAGCCAGGGGGAGGGTCCTGAAGAGGAAGTGACCTTGCTGGGGTGGGCAGAGGTGCTAGCCTCTGATCCTGGCCCCAGGCTGCTTCCTGGGCGGTGTCTCTGCCTGCATGTTCTGACTTAGCACTAAATTTGCTCTCTGTCACTGTCAGAGATGGGGAGGGCAAGCCCTTTGAGTCCATCTCTGGGCCCCATGTGAACCACCTCCCTGCTTTCCTGAGATCCTCTTTCAGTTCAGCAGAATGCTGCTGTTCTGTAACCTATTTTAGAAATGTGTAATTAGACATTCACTTTTTCGTATACATTCCGTTCTTGTTACCAAAGCTCAGCTCCACACCTGCTCTCTGTCCCACCATTGACTTTTGAAATCCATGTCGGATTGCAGCTGTTCAGGGTTAGGACCCAGTCCATAGTTAATTCACAGGCCCAAGATCACCCGGGTGGGAAGGGACAACCTGGGCATGAACTTTTCCTTGCCTGGGTGGGGATAGCTACCCTTCCTCTTGGCAGATTCCTATGGAAGGACCTGGGGTGGAAGGTTACTGGGAGGACAGAGGGAGGCTGCTGGAGCAAGTGCTGTGGGTGGAGGCCTCCCTTGCCAGCTTTGCTGGAGTGGTTTGTGGGTGGAGGACAGTAGACAGCAACCCCTCATTTTGCTGTGAGCTTACCTGGCCCTCTCTTTCTGAGCCTCATCTCCCCTGTAAATGGAGCTATAAAAACTTTAAGACCGCTTTCAGGCTCTGATCTCTGGTCACTGGGGTGTGGATCTCACCCCCAGGCTGGGGAGGTAGGCCGGTCAGCCCTCCTTGGGGAAAGACTGGCCAGGGAGTCCAGCATTTCCCCCATGGTCTTGGTGGCCAGGTGCCCCTGTGTGCTTTCCCATGGGTGCTGCACAGCCAGGCGTTGGCTTCAGTAACCAGGTCAGGCATCCAGGGTACCTAGTAGAAGGGGGCCATCCACCACTAGGGTCCCTTGAACACATAGGATGCTTCTTGGGAAGATTAGATACGGAGGGCCGGGCAGGGATCTGTTGCCCAGGACCTGTCCCCAAGGGAGTCTGCAGACCTGCACTGTGCACAGAACGCTCAGCTGCATGCTCACATGAGCCTCTTCCTGGGCGCTCCACGTTCATTCATGCATCCTCTCATCCAGGTCTTATGGGACACAGTGCTGGGTGGGAGCCAGGAGCCAAGTTCTGGTTCCAGGCCAGTGGCTCCTGGCCATAGACGGGGTAGGAGGTGGTGGCGGTAGAGGTGAGAGAGCTCTCACTCTCCTGGTCAGGCCTGAGGGTGCTGTGAGCCCCTTACTATTCATAGATGGGGAGAAGAGGAGATGTAGCAAGTTACACCCACAAAATGGGCTCTCAATAGCCCCCTTAGAGGGGCCTTATAATGCTGTCCAAAAATGCTCTCAAGAAGGAATGCCATCCAAAACAGGGCCCCCAAAGAGTGCCACCTCAAAGGAGTCCCCAATGGTGACACCCCAAATAGGTTCTCCCAACATTCTCTCCATATGAGGTACCCCATTAATGCCTTTCAAAGTGGTCTGCTCCTCCCTCCATTGGGATGGACAACGAAGTGTGAATGGTCAGGGCAGGGAACTGGGTTACCTGGTGCTGAGCTCAGAAGGCCCAGCTGACTTTGGGTGAGCAGAGGGGAGACCCTGGTGGAAAGGGAAGGGGACGGGGACAGGAAGGTATACGGTGGGGGGCAGCCAGTCTGGAGGGAGGAAGCACCCCCCTCATTTTGCTGTGAGCTTACCTGGCCCTCTCTTTCTGAGCCTCATCTCCCCTGTAAATGGAGCTATAAAAACTTTAAGGC